CTCCTGAGTTGCTGGGATGACAGGTGTAGCCACTGCACGTGGCTTCCTTGTCTTGTACTTTACTCTCATCTACTGTTATTTAACATCTCCGGTTACAACTGAATTTCTATAAATCTTCCTTCAGATTATAAATATTTTCATTGTAGAAAACTTGGGAAGGGAAAAATACAAGAAAAAAGAATCACTCACAATCCCTATGAGTCACTATTTGTCATATTTTCTTTCAGACATTCTTCTTTGCATTTTTTTTTTTTAACTTTTGCAATACTAGGATTGAACTCAGAGCCTCCCACATTGTTAGGCAAGGGCTCTACAATGAACAACGTCTTCAGCCCTTTTTAAAATTCCTGTTTTAAGGTGGTCTCACTAAATTGCACAGGTTAGATTCAAACTTGCCATCCCCCTGCCTCAGGCTCCGGAGAAGCTGAGTCGAGGCGTGGCCACGTGCCTGGTTATGCTTCTACTTTTCCTATAGATGGGAGGCATTGCCTACATATTCATTTATTAGTATAGCAATTTATGATTATTGAACATTATATTCAAAGATCCTTTTTAATGATTCCATAATATTTTATAGTATTGATTTTCTCATTATTGGAGACATTTAAATTTGGGGGGTAAATATTAATAAATGCGTAGTTTTTGAGCTTACCATTTTTTTCTGAATCCCAGCTTTTGTTTCTAAGATGCAGACCCACAGCCCTTCCTGTGGATTGGGATCAACCTGGAGGCCACAAAGGCCTCAAGGCGACCTGACCAAGGCTGCACTCTAGTCCAGAGGCAGGTGCAGGAGGCCCCTCAGCAGGACTGAGGTGAGAGCCTAGGAACCTTCCCTTGTGGCGTCTGACTGCACCCACTGTCACCCTCACCAGGACACAAGGGCACAGACAGCCCATCACTCACAGCTGCAGTGGACAGTTTTAATCCACTCCCCCTCCTCACCCCCAGGGGCCGCACAGGGCTGGGGGCAGCTCCTGAGGGTTGAGCAGTGGCCGGGTCTGAGCTGACCAAGGAGCCAGTTGCATGGAATCTGCAAATGGGGACAGGCTGGCGACCAGAATAGGACGATTGACTAATCGTCAAATCCAGCATGCGCAAGAGACCCAGTAGTTGAGGTCGAGACCTGAGGTCAGCAGGTAAGATTTTCGGACACCAGGTCCCAGCCTGGACTATCCAGTGGAGACACCTGGTGAGGCCCACCCCAAGGCCACAGCAGGTCCGTGGGGACTCAGGCACTAGATGTTTAAAAGAATCCCTGAGCGGCTGTGCAGCCCCCGCCTGGAGTCCACCCACCCCGTTCTGGGGTGCCGCACTGATTCTCTGCATTTTCCTTTAAAAATAACTTTGTTTTGGACTCTTAAAGCAATACGTGTTCACGGTCGCAAATTGTGAAAACAGAGAAAAAGCCCAAAGGAGAAAAATAGACGTCGCACACTTTCCAACCAGTGCCCTGCGGTCTGGGGCTCAGTGTCTGGCGCACAGGGGGGGCCTCCGCCCTTCCTCAGGCGAGCATCGGCCGCTGGGGGTCTGCCGTCCGGTTCTTCAGACTCTCACAGCTTTGTCTCTTTGTAGCTGAACATTTATTGAGCACTTGCTGCGTGTGGACCTGGGCACCCAAAGATCTCAGCGCAGCTCTCCAAGCCTTCTGCCCAGTCCAGAGGGAGGAGGCCCGAGCTCATCTGCCGGCCTTTCCCCTGTCCCTGGGGGTCCCAGGTTGGCCTCTGTGGCTGCGGACTAGGTCTTCTTGGTTCCAGACGGTCTTCTAGGCTTCATGGAACGTGACACAGGCTGATTCTGCTCCTCGGTCCCTTCCCACAGTTCTGCCCTGAGAGGCCTTTCCAGTGGACGAGGATGTGCCGTCTCTGCCCAGCTGCCCTGATGGGAGGACAGCTCAGGGCCTCTTCTGTGGACTGTCGTCTTCCCGTTCATCCCCTTTCCTGCTGCTCCCAGCTGAGCTGCAGGATGCCCCTGGTCCCCAGCACTCCCACCCCCAGCCAACCACAGATGAGCCAGGGCTGCCAGGGGAGCTGCCTCCGTCAGGGTGCAGCTCCCGCCCCCTCCGCCTGAGTCCTAGGCTGGCTCAGAGGTGCTGAGTTACACTGTCCCCCATTCCAGGAGCGCTTGCCACCTGAGTGGCCATGAGACTCAGCCTCCACCCTCGGCTACGGCTCAGAAGGCAGAGGGAATCTGGAAAGACTTCCTGGAGTAGATGGCACCTGAGCTTGGCTTGAGGGAAGGGAGAGGTCGGAGGGAAGGGCATTCTAGGCAGAGGGAAAGGGCAAGGAGGGACTGAGCAGAGCACCCCGAGCCCAGCAGGACACAGGGGAGAGTGGAGGGTGGGCAGATGGCAGGCCCTGGGCCCAAACCTGGAGGACAAGTGGCAGAATCTGGATGCGAGGAGGGGAGGTCATTGGCACAGGCCTGGTAGAGCCAAGGTCCAGGACTAGGGTCTGATGGGCACAGGGAGGCTGCAACAGCAACGGTGGGGTGGAAGGACAGAGCCAGGTCATGGCAGAGACTAGTGCGGACTCTGGGAGGGGGCGGGAGAGGAGGAGGGGTGCCTGCCACGCGTCCGGAGAAGACGTGGCTGTACCTGGATTGCAGTCTGGGGGGCTGAAGTGGGGTGTCCAGGCTGGGAGAGGGAGGAAAGCCAGTCAGGGCACCTTGTGGGTCAAACAGCCTGGCACCCTGCAGAGTGACAGTCACTTGGGTCCTGAGATGGAGCCTCCTGGGGTCATTAGGGACAAGAGGGCCTGAGATAGAAGTATGGACAGCAGCTGGGGGCGCTCATGCTGGGCAGAGCCTCGTGGTGGCCTGGAGCTACTCTGCAGGGCTACCTGACCTTGGGTCCCACAAACCTTTTCTTCTCCCTCCTCCTCCCTCTCCGCCACCCTCTCCGCAGTACTGGGCATGGAGCCCAGGGCCTCTCACGGGCTAGGCAAGTGCTGTCCACTGAGCCACAGCCCAGCCCTTGTCACCATTTATTTGGTTTGGAGACTGGGTCTGGCTAAGTTGCTGAGGCTGGCCTCAAACTCACTATTTTCCTGCTCAGCCTCCAGAGTCGCTGTCTTTTCTTTTAAAAGCCACACACGAGCCTGAGTGGGGACAGGCAGGACCTTTAATCCAACTAGGATTAGTGCCCGGGGCAGGAGATCAATCAATCCAACTTCCTGACTTCGAGTCCCCAGGCCGCACTGTCTCTGTGGCCCTGTGTGGGGCCCTGTGTGGGCCATCAGAGGGGCTCCGCGCAGGGCCTGGCGCTGGGGCTCCTGAGCTGTGGTTGAGCCGTATGATGTGAGCTCGCACCCTCTTGGCACCATCTGTCCTTTCTACCAGGGAGGACGCAGTTCCATGTCCACTCACTTCGTGGGGGTCTGTGTTGGCGTGCGGAGCCGGGAAGCTGGGGTGCACTTGTCCCCGAGTTGGGGGCGGCCCTGCTTTCCTCTTGCCACCGCACTGTGTGGCCACGCTGCACAGGGTCCTCTTCGTTCTTCAGGATGGAAGCATGCGGTCCTGATGCGCTGTGACCACAGGGCCCATGCGGCGGCTGCAGGGCCAGGACCACAGGTGCTCGGTAGGAGACCACCCCACCAGCTCCCAAAGCTGCCGCTGGGGCCCTTTGCCACAGCTCCACAGGGTCAACTTCAGGTCAAGCCCAGGGCCCTTTCTGGAGGAGCCAGGCATCCCCAGGGAGGAGCAGGACCAGTGCCACTGATACAGACCCAGGACCAAGCCACGGTGACATCGAGACCCAGCACTGGACTCACAGACGGCCTTTAGCCTCCGGCCTGGAGGGAGGGGCCTGACTGCCCGGCACTGGGGCCCAGGGGCTGCCCCGAGCGACCACAGGCAGGAGTCTCCGGCTCTGAGGACTGAAGGGCCAACAGGAGGACAGCTCAGGTGAGGAAGGCGCCCAGGGCACGGAGGCCGTCTTCCTGCAGTGACCAGCTCCAGCCGGGAGTGACATAAATTCAACAGTGGGGCGAGCACCTGCCATGGGGGAGGCAAGCTGTCCCAACTGGAAGGGAAGCACCCAGGGTCCTGAGGGGCTCGTGCAGCCCCCAGGAGGCCCCAGAAGGGCCCGGCCCAGAAAGCCCAGTGCATGGGGGTGACGGAGGTGGACACCCCACGCTCGCCTCCTCTTCTCCCTTCTCGGCTCCTCCGGGTGCTGGGAGAGGAGGGTGTTCTGGACTGAACTGAGTCCCCCGGATCCTTATGTGGACACCCCAAACTCAGAATCTCGGAATGTGACTGTATTGAAGGAGGTGGCTGAGTCGACCGGAGGTCATTAAAGCAGCCCTAATCCAACAGGGCTGGTGTCCTTAGATGAGGAGATGACAACGTGTACATGAAGGGAAGGCCGAGTGAGCGCATGGGGAAGGTGGCCGTCCGCCAGCTGAGGACAGGCCTCAGAAGCCATCCTCTGGACACACTGAGGCCCGCAGCCTCCAGAACTAGGAGGAAATACATCTCCCCTGTTTAACCGTCTCACAAGGGGGAAGAGGGACAAGCAGAGGAAGGAGGACTGGCCGGTCCCCTGTCCTGCTGCCCTAGGCCCTCAACGCCCGTTTCTCCACCCTTAGGACGTCCGAAGACTCCGCGATGCCCTCCTAACCCCAGAAGGGTCAGTTCTTCCAAGTGGTGTCCCCAGGTTTCCTCAGAACCGAGGAGTATAGAGAAACCTTGGATGCTCAACGGACGCCTGCTGCCACCTCTGGATGGTGCCATGTTCTGAATGGTGATGGTGGCACACCATGGGCACCCCCACCTTGAGGACCACAGGCCAGGGGACATAGCCCTGAACTCTCTGTCTGATCAGCAAGGGCCGCCGGGGGAAAGGAAGAACCAGGGCTTTGCCCCAAGCAGGACACGGCGGCTTGAAGGTGACCTGATAAGGAGGTCAGGGTCAGGGCAGGTGCTCTGGGAGGGGTGGCAGCTGAGCCAGGCTGGTGACAGGACCCACCCGTCCGCCCTCACGCACAGCAGCCCGCACGCCTTACCTTGCCCCCTCCTGGCTGGTGCTTCAGGTTCTCGGTGGAGCCGATCTTGGACCTGACGTTCTTCAGGTCTGGCATGGGCACGGGCGCAGTCTGCAGGCGGCTCTTGGTGGAAGATGGTGACTTGGGTGGAGTGCGGACCACTGCCACCTTCTTGGGCTCTCGGGTGGGTGGCGTTGGCAGGGACGGGGTGCGGGAACGGCTGCCAGGGGTGCCTGGAGAGCCGGGGCTGCTGTAGCCACTGCGATCCCCAGATTTTGCTGGTTCACCTGGGGAGAAAGGGAAGAAGGCAGGCTAAGGGGAGGGGGTCAGCAAAGGCCCCGGGGGCCACTGTCAGGCTCAGGACGGAACAAGCAGGTGGGAACAATGTTGAGAGCTCAGCAACCTCAGCAGGAGGAAGCCCTGGAGCCCACTGCTGGAGAAGCCTCTCCTCCTGCTGACCTTGTCACTTAGGGATAGTGACGCCATTCCCCAGGACAACAACAGAATGTTCATCAGTATCCCATCAATATCCTGCCATGGCCCTGGGGCCAACTAGCTGTGTGGTCTCAGGCAAGTCACTACCCCTCTCTGAACTCAGAGGCCTCAGATTGGAGATGGACAGGATTATGGAGCCTGCAGGGAGGGAGGCTGCCTATGGAGGCATGTGTCAATATGCTTTGCAAAATTCACACCACTGTGGCCCTTACCCTGCCCAAAGGTGACACGATGACAGGACCCAGCTGCTGCCCTCAAGCCCAGACCAAGCTGGCCCTTTACCCACCGAGTCCAACTCCAGGGCTCCTACCCCATTCCCTGGCTCTGGAACCACATGTCCACCGTCTGCCTCGCTGCCCGAGCCCACCGGCCACGCCAAGCCTCTTCCCACCACCAGGTCCTGCAGGCTGTTCCCTCCCCAAGAACGCCCATCCCCCACACCTGGGCGGGCCAGACCACACCCCTTTCCAAGCACCTGCAGGCCCCGACCCTGCAGCCGGGACCTCTGCTTGCCAGCAGACTGGGTCCCTCCACCTCTGGGAGTCCTTCACCCCTACACCTGCTTCTGCGGCTGCACTTCCCGTGCCCCGGTTACACTTCAGAGTTTGCCATTCTGTCTGCGGTTGGTGTTTCTCAAAGTGGGGCCCTGGGAACCCCAGGTCAGAACCTCTGGGAGTTTTCATTTTATTTTTTTCTTTTCCTCTGGCAAATCTTTGGAGCATTTGAGGAGGAAGTGAGACCTGTAAAATGCAGCTTGCTGGGCCCCATCCTGATCTGCTAGAGCAGAACCTCATGGCGTGGGGCTGGCAAAACTGGTTTCCTCACTCCCCACCCCAGGCCAGGAACCATCCATTACAAATTACAAACGCTGTAATCTGCAGCCTGTGCTGTCTGCGACGTCTGCGAGTGCCCTTGTCAAGTGACAGCAAGCACCTCAGTGTTCAGAGTGTGAATTTCCACATCTCTGATGTGCCTAGAGTGGTCACATGCTGTGGCAACGGGACAAGTGAGGCCTTTTCCCCAGAAGGAAACACCCGATGGGGCCTCTGCTCCAGGTCCAGCCTCTGCCTTCCTGTCTCCAGGGACACAGGAGGCCCAGTCATGGTCACCTGAGAAATGTCATCTCTTGCAGAGTGGCTCTGGGCAGGTCAATCACCCTCCTTAAGCCTGGGAAGAGGGATCAGTGCCCACAAGATGGTCTTTTTTTCCCCTTTGGTACCAGGGATTGAACCTAGGGGCGCTTAACCGCTGAGCCACAGCCCTTTTTATTTTGATTTTTTTGAGACAGGATCTTGCTAATTTGTTTAGAGCTACATTAAATTGCTGAGGTCAACCTCAAACTTGCTATCCTCCTGCCTCAGCCTCCTCAGTCATTGGGATTACAGGCATCTTATGCACCAGCGAACGTAAGATGGTCCTGAAGTTGGGACATCCTAACAGGCGGTGTCCAGCCCAGCTGTGGTGCTCACAGAACGCACCTTTAAGAAGGCCAGAGGTAATTTCCTACCTAAACCCTGATTAGGAACCAGCACCCCAAATGCCTTGCGGCACATACTCCCCTCTCCTCACGCCCACAGCCCTAGTCCCTGAAGCAAATGAGAAGAGGCTGTGTGGAGAGTCCACCAGACAGATACAGCTGCACAAATCACACAGGAAGGAAGCAGCCCTCGGCTCATTGGGGAGCCTGCCAGCTTGGCCCAGCCCTGCCAACAAGCCCCGGGCAGCAGACATGCCCCGAGAGCCTGCCCACCCAGGGAAGCAGGCCCACATTTACCTCTCTCAGACTTTGCCCCTGCAGGGGGTGGTTTTCTCTGCACTTGCTTGGAAGCTTAAAAAGAAAAAGCCACAGAGGGCCTCATTATAATCAGGCTTAAAGGGTCTTAAGGCATTCTTCACGTGGAGCCTGCTGGCCCATCTGGCCCAGGACAGGGAGGCAGGGAACAGGCACAGGGGGCAGGAAACCAAGTCCAGGGCCCAGCAGAGAAGACGCATCCGCCTACAGGCAGCCACCTAAGAACAGGTAGAGCTGAAGAGCAAGGCACACCCTTGTCCAAGTTGTTGCAATAGGCAAAGCAACTGGCATAAAGCCAAGAGACGCAGCAGGCTCAAAATCATATGAAAATACCATTAGAAACTCTGCTGATTCTCCCCAGATCGTAAGTGCTCGAGGAAACCCCAGCAAGAAAACACAAGGTGAAAACGAAGCCCGCTGCCCGAACCAGCAGCCCACCCTCCCACACACTGGGGGCAACGCCAGGTCAGAAGCATGCAGTGTCAATCATGGCTGAGAGGGCCACCGCAGGCTGGGCAAGCAGGGACACTGAGACAGGCCAGGCCTTCACCACAGCGGCACCAAGATCCATAGGCCTCTTGGGTGCTGCCCAGAAGCAAATGCAGGCCACACTCCCCTACGTTATGCAGCATCTAAACCCACTTGCAGGGGACAGGTCACCAGGGCAACGGAAGAGGGCTGCCATTCCTAGCAGCTGCACATGGCCAGCCCAATGGGCGGGTATCCAACACCGACTGGCTTTGGCTCACAGGAGTCCAGGACAATGGGCACAGCTCGACACTGCTCAGTTAAGACCCTTGGGTTTTGCCAGAAGATTCCTAACATACCCAGAGAGTGAGGCTGCTCAGGGCCAAGCCCTGTGTGAGGTCACCCAGAGTGACCTGTCCAGACTGCTGCTGTCTCCAGAGAGACAGTGCCACATGCCCTGTGTGGGGCCTGAAAACACTTTCAGCTGGGGCTGCCTCCCCAGAACCCTGGGTTTGAAGACAGAGAAGCCCCTTATCCTGCCACTTAATGCGTCATGTGACAGCGCTTTCCTCACGAGCTGGTTCGTTAGACGGAGCCAAGCAAACTCTCAGAGCCTCCATTTCTTCACTGATTAAAAGTAAGGATTTAGTGTCCACCCCAGAAAACTGCCAAAAGTATTACAAAGACGAAGAACATTCCAGTGCTTAGCAAACCGCAAGGCCTTGCTCAGCTGCAGGGGTTATTATTGCCAGTGGCGTCCTGAGAGGACTGTACCTTCTGGGAGCTTCCTCTGACCAGGACTCGAGAGAACATTCTTCTTACCAGTGCCCGGCGGTGTCTTTGGGCTGGGTGTGGTTTTGGCTGGAATCCTGGTGGCGTTGGCCGTGCCTTTCTGGCCTGGAGGGGCTGTTCCCCGGGGTGTGGCGATCTTTGTTCCAGTTTTACTATCAGCCCCCTGTAAATGGAATTAGGGTAAAGTGTTTTTCACCAACGGGGAGTGTGACTGTCGTGAGTCAAGGCCGGCCCCAAGGACCCCTCCTCAACTCAAGGAGGCGAAAGCAGGTGACCCTTTGCCTTCTGGATGCAACAAATGTGTCCAACAACCTCAAGGGTTTGCTGCGCAGACAGCCCAGCCCCACCCCAGCACCAAGCACCCCGTAGCCATTTCCTCCCAGAGGAATTATTTGCATTGGTTATCAGCGCTCGCCTGTGCTGACGTTATTTTATAAAAAGACAAAAGAGCTTGTAGCAAGATCAGGGTCGTTGTCCACTCAGTGTTGATCAGTGGGCTGGAAGCCATGCCCATGGGGACACTCATTTTCCGACTTTATGGATGTACCTGGCTGACGTGTCGGTGTCACCAGAGACTCCTGGAGACACTATTTGTTGAATCTGACTGAAAATACTAAACAGAACAAGGTCATGTTCTTTTGTTCTGTCCCAAACGGCCTGCAGGTCTCAGGTGTGCTAAGGGCGCTTGGCAGGTAAACCCTGGCCAAAGGTCAGGAGCAAGAGACGGCACAGGCAGTCTGCAGTTGGGAGTCTGTCCCAGGAGGTGACTGTTGCACCTAACAGGAACTCCAAGAAGCAGCCAGCACTGACCACAGAGCACTAGCCAGCTCAGGAGGGAGTGAGCCCGTGGGACAGGTCATCTGTAGGCCGCTCCGGTTACCAAAGCCAAGGATGGGCACAGCAACCTACCCAGGGGCGACTTTCAAACTCAGATCCCCAGGGCCTCAGGGGCCACTGCTGCCAAGGGCAGGGGGATGGGAGAAGCAAGGCCCAGAGGCCCCTTTCCTCTTCAGCTAGAATTTTAACTATTCTGTGTGGAAAGACCCTGCAGGGGCTTATCTAAAGAAGGTCACTGTGACTAAGAGGACATTCACGGAAACCCCGCTAGGGTAGCCTGGTTCTGTCCAAGGTCATTTCCTTACCTTGAGCTTCACCTCCTCTGCTCCCAAACTGCCCGTTGGGGGTGTGACAGAAGAGACGTGTTTAGGAGAGGAAGCTGGCTCAGGGCCGGAGGGTTTGATCAAAGGGTCTGAGCTACATGGAGTGGGGCTCTGGGGCTAAGGCAAGGCCTGTTTCTCAGGCTTTAGCACAGGAAGGCGTGGGTGTCTTCAGCTAAACACAAATAAAACCAAAGTGAACGTCAGCACTTTGGGAGGGAGACAAACTGAAACAGGGCAGAGACTACAGGAAGAGAGGCAGGCGTGTTTAAAGAGGCGAGCCCCGTGCTGTTGGGACGGGTGCCCTCATCCGTCCTGGTCAGGAGGAAAGAGAAGCGACCACCTTCCAGGATCACAGAAGTATCTGTCAGCTAGCTAGATGAGCTACGGTGGCCAACTCACAAATGACAGAACTTTTAAAGAGAAGATAACAAGTGGATAGGAGGGACAATCCTAAGGGAGGACTGTCCAGCTCCAACCCCTGGAGATTGTGTCTGACACCACTGAGGTCACCCACATGCAAGTTTTCTGATCGAGTCTCAAATAAAACTAGTCTTACTCCTATCTGGTAAATTCCAAGATGGGCAAAGTAAAGTTTTGTGTGTTCCACCTAATGAAATGGCCTACAGGACAGGCTTGATGGACGGAGGCCGGCACCCCTGGTTTGTCCTAACTGCCACTTGGGGCCACATCTTCAGGAATGAAAGCTGAGAGCTAAGTTAGGGCACCCCGGGGAGGGAGTCAGAGCCACAGAGCAGCGACCTGGCCAGAGATGTCACTGGGCTTCTCTGGTGTTTCCTCATCACCCTTGAATTCCCCGCTATAGTGGCCGAGTCCCTCTGTGCCAGCCCTGGCAAGGAGGAGAGCCCAAGGGAGGGGGCAAGGGAACAAGGACTGAGGCTCTGGGGCTGGTGACAAAGCTGAAAATGTAGGGGTAGTTACTGGTGGCCCCTCCTTCCCTAGCTGGGCAAGGCTCCTGTCCACTGGCATTTCTCCCTACTTGGCTAGGTGTGTAGCACAGCTGACCTCCTGCAACTGGGGCCACTCCAGGGCAGAGACCTTGCACCCATGTGTGCAGAATGAATGAACACCGAGGCAGCCAGTCCCTGCCCCTCTGCAACACTAAATGATTGACAGTTATTGCTTGGACCTCAAGCACAGGGGCAGGGCTCTCTCAGTCCTTGCAGGGTGCTCATCTGCCTTCCTGGGCTGGGTCTGTGTGATAGGGACCCCAAATTTGCAGAGGGCAAGCTCTTCCAGTGGCAGCACTCAACACCTGCTCCCAAACTCAAGCCACCTTCTGCACCTGGAGATCCGACAGGGCCCCACTACTGACGGCACTCCAGATGTTCCAGGCAGCATTTGATTTTTTTTTGGTGGTGCTGGGGATGGAACTTATAGCCTTTTTCTATCACTGAGCTACCTCCCCAACCCCAAAAGGAGCATTTATATTAGAATTTTTTTTTTTTCTCTAAAATAGGTGTTGTTGAGGGCCAGGTGGGATTTTCTAGGGAAACTGAGCAGAGCAATTTTGGGAACACTATCGTTTTTCCTTTTTATTTTTGCGGTTCTGGGGATTGAACCGGGGGTGCCCTACCCCTGAGCAACGTCCCCAGCTGCTTCCTTCCCATTCCTTTTTTCTTTTCCTGTCTTTCTTTTGAGTAACAGACACGAGTTTATTAGAAGGAAAAGGAAAGGGGAGAGTGGACTCAAGGAAGAGAGTGGGTCCTCTCTGAAAGAAGAAAGACCCCCGGCCCTTTTTACTTTATTTTTTCACTTTGGGACAAGTTCTTGCCAAGTTGCCCAGCTTGGCCTTTAACTTGAGATCCTCCTGCTTCAGCTTCCCAAGTGGCTGGGATTACAGGTGGGTGCTGCTACACCAAGCTTCTGGAGTATTTTCAAGGGGGTAAACTGCAGCTGAAAAATGAACGCCTGACAGGGACCAGCAGGGTTCAGGAGGCAGGCGTGTGGCACACAGGTGGACTCATTTGCTGTCCCTGGGATTGCTTGTTGAAGACTGATTGCTTGTTGAAGGGTTCAGCCCAAATCGCCACTATGGCAAGATTGCAAAACGGTGTCCACTGCACCAACCCTCACTTCTCCACTCTGTTTAAGGAGTGGGTCAGTTTTCCCTCCTCTCATATCCTTCCAGCTCAGGTCAGCCCACACAGAGGATCAGCAACGGGCCAGTCGCTAGTCCCCGCTACGCTTCTGCCTGAGGCCTTTGGTCCTGTGCTCCTCCTCCGTGGCTGCAGCCTGCTCATTGACTTCCTTCACTTCCCGGGCCACCGGACTCCCTGCACTGTCTGGAGACCACTTCCTGGCTCAAGATCCCCTCAGCCTCCTAACGTATTCTGTTTATTTTGTGCAGTACTGAGGATTGAATCCAGAGGCGCTCAGCCACCGAGTTACATCCCAGGCCTTTTTATTTTTTGTTTTGAGATACAAGCTCTCTGAGTTGCCCAGGCTGGCCTCAAACTTATGATCCTCCTGCCTCTGCCTCAGTCACTGGGATGGCAGGCGTGTGCCACCACACTCAGCTCCTTGATGCATTTTTTTTTCTTTTTTTTGGGGGGGTGGGTGGGTACCAGTGATTGAACTCAGGGCACTTGACCACTGAGCCACATCCCCAGCCCTATTTTGTATTTTATTTAGAGATAGGGTCTCATTGAGTTGCTTAGGACCTTGCTAAGTTGCTGAGGCTGGCTTTGAACCTTGAGATTCTCCTGCCTCAGCCTCCTGAGCCACTGGGATTACAGGTGTGTGCCATTGTGCCCAGCCCTAATGCATTTTCTATGTATCATATACATGTACATTTGTATCATATATATATATATAAAATGTATATTTATTTATTTATTTATTTGCTGGGCCTAGATCTGGGGTGGCAAGTGTAAGATGTGCAAGAAATTTAAGGAGCACCATGTCATTAACTTTCTGACAGTCCTTCTCTGGTACAAAATTGATAAGTGATGGGATTTTTTTAAACCTTGCAGAAAAACACAATGCGCTTCAAATGACACTTGCTCTCTAGTGACAAATGCCCCCTACGTGGTGTGTTACCGCGCACACAAAGCTTAAGCTCTCCATGACAGCGACCGGCATCAGAGGTTCCCGGAGTCAGCTTACCTTTGCTTTTCTGTCCTCGCTTCCAGTCCCCTCTTTGCCTTTACTGACCATGCGGGCTGATAAAATATAAAACGAGAATGCGCGTTACAACCCACTCTCCTGGTGCGCAGGTGGAGCAGCCGTAGTTTGGGGTCAGTGGCCCGTGTTTTGTTCAGCTGGGTTTGGTGGAAACACAATGGGGTTTCTTTCCCCCGGAATCTGCTAGATGTTGCTTTGTTAGTACAACACACCACACTGGGGCCATTGCTCAGAGCAACCTGGTGAGGGGGCAGCAGGCTGGCTGAGGGCGGGGACATGCAGAGGAGACGCAGTGGAGGCTGTTAGAGGCACGTGTGGACTCGGGGCTATCTTGGGAGGGTGGGCAGTGCCAGCTCCCACCCACAGACTCTTTCCCTGTCTCTGCCGGGGTCAGCCCCACCCAGGGGAGGCCAAGCCCACTCCATGGAGGGGCATTTAAAAGCCATGGATGGGGACAGCTCTGCCAGTCTCTGTCCTCCTGCAGGACCTCAGGATCAGGGGTTGTCTCCACCCTGTGGCTAGGCTCAGCCTTGGTTTCTTCTCAAGGGCCTTGAGGCCTGACTGGAGCCACCTTAGATTTCCCTGGCCCCTGGGGTCGGTTCATAAGCAATCCTAACGTTTGCCTTCTTATGCTGACCACCCTGCCTCCCTGCTCCTGGTGACCTGCCACCAGCAGAGGTGAGCCTGGTGGGAATGACTTCACCCCATTTTTCTGGATGCACCCCTAGAACCTGCCTTACTAATGGGGACCTCGGCCACCAGTTCCAGGATGCGTACATAAGCCCATCCCCACCCCCACCCCAGCCCTGGGGGGATCTTCCCACTGAGGAAGCTAATCCTTAATTAGCTATAAACTGTTAGCATCCAGCATCCCACAGATAACATCTGGGTATGGAGCTCAGCAATTGGTGGCTGTTGCTTAGGAAGCTGTCCGTGGTGGGGCCCGCCCACGAGACCCAGCCACTCCTCTAGCTCATGCTCATCATCGAACATTGATAGCACATTTTCTTCTTTGGTTGTGACATCATATTCCCTCTTGCCCCAAGGATGATGAGCCTCCTGGAGTTTCTTACTGGCTGTGACAGTCTTGGATTTCTGGAGTGCCTGGTGCTTCTCCTCTAGCCCAGGTGTGGCAGAACCACCTGGAGACAGTGGCTCCCAGGCCGAACGTGGCACCCAGGCCTTTGAATAGGAGCCAAAGAGGGTCTGACTCACATGCTCCTTCCTTAGCTCAAATCAACAGCACCATCTGATCACAGGAGAATCTGCAAGATCGGCATCTCCCCAATCCAGGTAGGACTCAAGGAGCCCTCTTCCAGGAGATGTTACCAGGCGGGATCAAATAAATGTGGGAAGTCCATAGTATGCGTCCTTGGAGGGCCAAGACATGCATTAATACATTAAAGACTGACAAATTCTCCGGCAGCAAAACCTGAACTTGGTTTCTAAACTCACAGGGCCATGGAACTCATTTCCCCTCTGGATGCACCTATTGACATCGGGTGGACCAGGATTCAATAAAACATCACTTTAGAAAACCCTGTGGTAAAAACCCTGACAAGCCTCAGTCATTTGTCCCCTCCTGCTTTGGAATCTAAACCAGGCCATAGGATTTTCCCACCCCCCCACTCCATCCTAAATCTTAAACACAGTTTCCTTTATCTGTAACACTTCAAAGATTGCTCTGTAAGTAGAACCTAATAAAAATCGAATAGATGTTTATGACTGTGAGCTTAAGTAGCATCAATTCCTGGGCCCTGCAAATAATTCTGAAATGGTAACTATTCTAAAATCCTAAACCTATGAATACATCCACTTTGAGCCACAAAGTCTCTCCTAGGATATGAAAGTCCTCTCCATGACACTGGGGATCTCCCCTCCTACCTCTCCTGACCTCAAGCTGCTGTGGTTGTGCTCCAGGTGGGCCAGGCTGTGACCCCTCTGTGATGTCAATGCAGGGGCCTCTGGGGTCTCTGGTCTCTGCTGAGGGTAGAGGAGGCACTTTGGACCAGAAAGATTTTGCTTCTTCAGTCTCCTGCCACAAGGCAGGGCGGGGTGAGGGTGGGGCTGTTGGGCCAAAGGCTCATTTTGGGCTCTTGGCCACCTGCAAATGCTGCTGCTTGGGTGTCACCTGCCAGATGTGACATGTCTGACGAAGACAGCAGAAGACAGGCACGCAGCCTTTGTGTCCCTGCATTAGGAAAGCATGCTCCAGCACCTTGCAGAAGGCACTGCGGAGTGTGGGAGTGTGCCTATCAGACCAGACCCACCTGGCTTCTGAACCTGGATCCTTCCCCTCATATAGGTGACCTTCAGCAAGTTACTTTACCTCTCTGAGCCTCGGTTTTCTCATTTGTCAAATGAGGCTGATTTTGCCTATTTGGGAGTGTTGGGAAGTTTCTAGAACATGAGTGTAAAGCACAGCAGAAGCCCTTGAGAACGGGGGTGGCTGTTGTCCTCTCTGTGGGGCTCATCCACCCACTGCCTGTGGGCTGAGGGACCACGGAGGATACATCAAGAGGTCCGAGAATCGGACAGGGCAGAAAGCACGGGGCAGGGGTGTCGGTGACATGCAAAACGGCGGGCAAGCGTGAGGAGCTCGTGCTACTGAAGCCCCAGGGGCAGGCGGCCGAGGGAGGGGAGCAGCGGCGGCCCAGGTGCCAGTTTAGTGGCTGTCTTGGAACCCTGGGGTGACAGGAGTCAAGGAGGGCCAGTGGCAGTGCCCGCAGCCAGGGTGGCACAGGAGGGCGCCAGGGGAAGAGCGAGGGAGCTCAACACACAGACCTTTGAGTTGGGGGACCCGGCTGACGGGCCTCCCTGGCAAACCAGCAGCAGGCCGCTTCTCAGGTGGCTCCGGGAGGCCAGCCTCTCTTGTGGCCTCTCCCACAGAGTCGCCCCGGGCCTCCAGCTCCTCTCCCGGGGCCCCCAGATGTGAGGCCCTTTCCAGATCCAGCTCTGACCCGGCCTGCTCCTTCTGCACATTGGATTTGATTTCCACGTGGAACATGAACTCGGGGGCAGCCTCGGGCCCTTCCACCGGGGGCCCTGTGCTGGGCCCAGTGGGCTGCAAGGCCGGGATCTCTGCAGGAACTTGGGAGAGGAAATCGACAGGGGGCGGGATGGCACCCTCAGCCGGGAAGCCACAGATACCAGCGGCTTCTCTGGAGACCTCCGGAGGGGACGGCCCTCCTGGAGAGGTCTGGGAAGGAGGGGAGTCTCGGGGAGACGACTCGTCGACATCTCGGTCTTCATCCACCTCCTCCCGGCCTCCCAGCCTCTCTTTGTCATGGCCTCCCTTTGGAGGCAGCCCCTCCTGGTCCTGGTCTCTCCATAACTGGCGCTCCAGCGGCCCACGGTCTTGGCTTCCCTCTAGGTCCTCAGGTCCTGTTCCCGAGGGCTGGTGTGTGGCCTCTCTGGGGCCTTCAGGTGGGATGGGGGTCCTGGGCCTGGGGGGGACGTGCTGGGGGCTCAGCCCTGGGGCCCCTGCGCTTGAGGCCTCGCCCTCACGGTGCCCGGGCTCCATCTCCCTGCGCCAGCTCTCCTGGACAACCTCGGCCCCCTCGGGCTCCGCGTGGAGATGCGCAGGGGAGGAAGGCTTTGCCACTGCCACACCCTCCTGGGCGGGGCCCCCGTGCTCTTGACCCCACTCCACGGGGGCTTCTCCAGGGCCTCCTGGTGGAGGTGGCACCGGGCAGGTGGGCTGCTGCTGAGGAAGGTGTGCACTCGCGTGGACGGGAGCTTCGGGCTGCTTTTCACCCGGAGATGCCACTGAGACCTCGGCCGGGGGCCTCTCGGGTGCCGCCCTCTGCAGGCCTGGAGCGCTCACCTTCTCTGGGTTGAAGAGGTAGCAGTGGCAAAAGGTTAGCAAGGGCACAGGAACCGTTTAGAGAGGGAACGTCACTCTCGCCATAAGAGAAAGACGCTCAGACGCATCGCAGGCCCCCTGACGGGGCAGGAGCACAGCTCTGGGCTCCTCTCGCGGCTGGTTGCTTAGAATGAAAGCTCTCTTGTCTCACTGCCACCAACCTGCGGGTGACCTGGGGTGAGCACCTCCCCTCTCTGGGCCTCAGTTTTCTTTTCTATAAAAGGAGGGCTTAGCCCTGGTCACCTCCAAGGCCCCTTCTGGTGTGGGCACTACTTCTCCTTTTACCAACAGACTCTGGCAGGGCCTGGAGCTTGTCAGAGAGGGCTCCCTTTCCTCTTACTCTTTCTGACTGTTTCCCGTTCTGATGAACGAAGCCAGCGGGTGCCACAAACCCACCCAGCCTCGAGCCTGGAAAGCCATGATTTATAATGATCAAGGATGGAGAGTGTCGTAAGATTCCATGAAAGGGGAGCGCGTCCAGCCCTCTCCAGCTCACCCGTCACACAGCAGACCTTCTGCCTAAGGTGAGGCAGGACCACGGTGGTAGCCAAGACTCAGGGGTCGCCTGCTCTAACCGGTCACACCACGTTTTGCACCAACTCAGCTGATGGAGGCCACGCTCATTTTTTTTTTTCCTGGCTTATTCATGTGACATTCATGTGAGTCCCTCTGTGCAGCATGTGGCTGTGTGTTCTGAACGGTCCTCGTAAGTACACTTTACTTTTTTAACTCCCAACTCTGAACATCCCATCTGGTTCCAACAGAAGAACCCACATAACTTCCAGGACTCTCCTCGAGCCAGACCTGTGGCCCCCAAGGATTCAGGGACTTGGAAAAGAGATTAGGACGAGGGGAGGGAAGGTAGGGGAGCACATACGTGTGTCCACACACATGTGCATCGGTGGGCATGTGAGTAATGTGTGGACCGGACCCTGTCCCCACCCGTCAGCAGGGGTGTGGCTTCACACTGGCTTGCCACCTAGATTCAGCACAGCTCGATCCCCCTCTACCCTCACGCTGGGCAGACTCTCCATCTCATTCACTTTGTGTTCCCAGAACTGTGCCTTCACACAGCAGGTGATCAATAAATGCACCCTCCCTGGATCAGCTGGTGTCAGGAAAAGACGCATCCCTGCTTCTTGCAGGGTCTTTGGGGACCTTATTGGGGTCCTCAGTCAAACTCTCAGAAAAGTAGCCCCAAAGAGAGATGCTCATGGCCCGAGCCCACGCTGAGCCTGAGTGCCAGAACTTCTGTCATGGGGCCAGCTCACGGGCCCAGGGCGAGGGCAACCCTGGTCACCACGCCACTCAACAGGCTGGGTCCTCACTGCCTTCCAGAAAGCACGTTCCTCCCAGAGCCTCCTAGGGATTGCTCTTGACTGGGAGGTTCGGACCCCAGGACTTCAAGAGCCACTCTTCAAAAAGAGACAAATCCCCCAGACATGGATGGGAGCACATTTTGAAAACCATCAGCACGAGGGCGGGGGGATGGGGGTGCAGCTCACGCTCCTCAGTGAGGAGCCCAGCACACAGCTCGCTCCCAGAGGGAGGAGTGAGTTGGCAGAATGTCCTGTCCACTCCCAGGACACCATGAGGTGTCAGCAAATATTCCACACAACAAGCTCTGGGGCCGCCACGGAGTCAGGGCAGACAGCCCTCCAGACAGGTCCCCCACCTTCTTCCCAGAGGCCTGGTCTCTGCGGTCACTTGAAGGAGGTGGGTGGGCCCCCCGGGTGTCCCTGAACTGGTCAAGGCCTTCACCTGTCTGACTCCCAGCACACCACAGCTCTATCTAGAGACAACCTTAACGGTCTTAGGCACCGTCGGACTACAGGCTGCACCCCAAATCTGTAGAACAAACTCAAATTCACTTTTTTAAAAAAAATGGAAATAGATGATGACTTCTGGAGATCATGATTCAGGAAAGCTCCAATTTTACCTAAGCTGAAACCCATGATCACAAGGAATGGGAGGGATGGAGCTGGGCTCGGTGACCCAGCATCTGTGTGACACCCGGATTCCATTCCTGCACACAAACAGGAGCCAGGGTTTTGGTAAATTCACATATAGACCAAGGCCCCGCTGTGTATTGTTCTCCCTTCTAGTAGTTTCCAAAACTCTCTGTTCACCTAAGAATGAAGGCACCCTCTCCATGCCGTGTGAGATGAGAATCTTTAGCCTCACCACGTTCTCAGGGTGGCAGAGTCTCCAAAGACAGACAGCACCCTGGCCTCAAATCCCCCATCACTTTTTGGACAAAAGAACAATATCTCAGCTCTTTTGCACTCTGGAAGCCTTCACATCGTACAGTTCATTTGGCCAGAAAATGATACTAAACAAGCCCAGCCCATGTTGTATTTATACCAGAAGTCTCCATTTCCCAAGATTAAGAATCTCTAGCTGGGCACAATGGTACACACCTGTAATACCAGCAACTCAGGAGGCTGAGGCAGGAGGATCACACGTTCCAGTTCAGCCTCAGCAACTTAGGGAGACTCGGTCTCAAAATGAAAAATAAAAAGGGCTGGGGATGTGGCTCAGTGCTAAAATGACCCTGGGTCTCTAGGATGTTATAAATTAAGTTCTTAGCATATTTATGATAAACAATAACAGAAAGCTGCTTTTCTTGAACTGAACAAGTTCAATTCCTGAGAAGAAAATCATAAGGTTTGCAGGCTACACCGAAGAAAGTTCAAATGCAAAAGTTTGGTAGTGATGGGAACAGCTTTTGTCTGCATATATATTTGCATTTCTGTCAGATATTTATTTTCAACTCCCGGGCTGGGCAAGGTCAGCTCCCTTTGGGACACTGAACACTTCAGGAATGACACAAAAATGGTGTCAGAAAAAAACCCTGCTAGGGCTCTTTTGCCACTGAGTGGCCCACCTTTGGTAAGAACCAAGTCCCCCAAATCTCCTGGACTGGTGAATTAGGGCCCAGGTCTGAGCTCTTTTTGGGGTGGCCCTCTGAATGCTCACATTTCTATCCTTTTGATTCCCAAGTGGTGGAGACAATTTGGGCCCACTGACCTTGAGTCACATGTCCAGCGGCTTGGTCTTCCATGTTTGGGGTGTCCCCAATGCCCGCTTCTTCGGCTGGTTTAGGTGTCAGCAGAGGGAGGACAAAAACAGACAGTTACTATTTGCCAGAACCAACTCTGTATCTTAGATCTTTCCTAAAACCTGCAGGAAAGACACATCCTCAGAATACCAAGGGCTGCAGCCCTGGCCCCTCTGCAAAGGTCACTGCTGGGGACAGCAATGACAACGGTTTCCTAAACAAAACCCCAAAGCCACACACCTGACAGGTGACTGCCACCTAGGAGGGAAGAGGGGGTACAAGTCATGACTCACAAAGATGCCAGGACCCAGAGGTCAGAGAAGCACTTGCTGTGAGGCCCCTGCAGTCAGCACTGCAGGTGGGAGACTCAGGGCCAAATTGTGCCTGCGGCCAACACCTCCTTGGCCTCTCTGAGCCTCCGTTTTCTCATCTGGAGCCCCAGGAAGATGACCCCAGCTTGTCTTCCGGAGGATGGGAGGGGCAGCGAGAGAGTGCGTGTGAAGGTGTGTGGCAGGGTGCCTGGCTAGGGTAGGTGCCCCAAACTCGTTAACTTCTTTCCTTCAAACCCTTCAGGAACGGGTGCTGCCTGACCAGAGGGAGGCCAGCGGTGCCAGAGAGTAGCTTTTGGGGGGTCTTGAGCTCCTGTTTAGGGAGCCACTGGTCACCCCAAACAAAGAAAGCTGAGTCAATTTCCTGACAACATCCACAGGACCTAAATCAAGAAGCATTCATTCCTAGAACACAGGATGCAACTGCCTGAGGCGGAGCACATAAGCAGCAAGCCACACACTGACCTCTGCCCCAGCATTTACCAGCCTGCCTGAGGCCAGACGAGAGGTGATGGCCTCCGAGAAATGCCTGCGAGCTTGGCTGGGCCATCAGCATAGTCCCCAGACCTGCAGAGCTGCCAGCATGCTCTGCCGTGGAGACAGTGGCAAGGAAAAGAAGTACCCAGGGTCATTGGGCAGCCACACGGTGGCCTCCTAATTACCCAGCTGGTTGGCTGTCCCAGGGCAGCTGCAAGGAGGCGGCATGTGAGGGGTCCATCATCAGCATGGACACCCTCTGGGTCCCCCACAGACAGCACTGGGCTAGTCTCAATGGTGACAGCGTCTTGTCCCATGACACAGCACTGGGACAATGCTAGCCCATGGCTCAGGAGCTCTGAGCTGAGTTTGGTCTGAGTTTGGGGAAGAAGATGAAAAGGGAAGAAAGGCACTCAGTGACAGCACGTCCAGCTAACCATCCAGCTAACCGGCCACGGAGTCTGCAAGGCAGCAGGCACAAGGAGGACCCCGGGATGCTGCCCTGCCATGGGGCAGATGAAGGCCTTCCTGTGCCACTGCAGAACTGCGACCTCCTGGCCTGGTGGTGCAGAACTGGAAGGCCCTGGTGAGGGGGAGGGACACTCAGAAAAACCCCAGAGGGGCAGGGGGCATGGCAGTGGTGACATGGTAGCTAACAGCCTCTGATATCCCTGGGGGGCATTTTCAAGGAAGCAGGAGGGCTTCCTGCTCCCCAGCAAGGCAGGACTCCTGCAGTGGCAGCCACACTGCACCCCATGGGACATCCATGGGCAGTTTCACTGGAACACAAGACACAGCAAACAGGGTGCACCAAGACGAGGTACTAAACTAAGGCACATCTTGTCGACAACTGAAAAAACGCTCACCGAACCCTAAAACCTGCCACCACACCGAGGGTGGAAAGGGCTGGGGGTGGGAGGTGGCCCTGTGGTTTCCAAGGCATCATTTGGAGACAGACACTTGACATGTTCCCTCTGGCCAGGGACCTAGTGAGCACTGTTAGGATCCCATTCAGGAACACCATGGGGTGGGAGAGGGGATGCTTCCGGGGCTGAGCAGAGGAGCACCACTGCAGTCCAGCCAGCAGGGTACCCCAAATTTGCTGCTGGGATCTCCCATGGATCTGATGCCGGCCAGGTCAGAGGCTCAGGAGGGCATCTCAGATGTCTAACAGGCCACCAGTGGAAGCCAGCCACCCTCAGCAGAGGTGAGCTGTTGCTGGGTCCAGGAGAGAGGGGACAGGAAGTCTGCTGGAATCCAGTGCAGAGGGAGGGTCTTCAGGGGACAGCGGCAAGAGATAGGGAATAAGGAAAGAAGAGCCCGGAAGAATTCAGATGAGGTTACCAAGAGAGAAAGAGTTCTGTCAACACCTGCCAGGGAGGACAGCAACTCACACCAGGCCAGCCTGCCGCCCATCACACCCACCTGCCCCAGGCCACCCCAGGGGAGGGTCTGAGCTCGGCCAGTGTGAGGAGCTTGGCTGTCAGATGGTGCCCCCGATTACCCAGGATCCATGAAAAGTCAAGAGCTGGCTGACGTTCTCATCCTGGGCAGGGGACAAACTCCCCCACCGACAACACTATAAGGGACAGCAGGGGACAAAATCAAGTCACGGGTAAGCACACTCTGTGAGCTCCCATTCCGAGGTCCTTGAGCACCTTCATGCTCCAGACTGAAGCCCTGCAGACTTGGAACCATCCCCCCAGCCATCTCAGAAGGCCTCTCTGCCCATCACCTGGCCAAGGAGAAACACACTTTGACCCCTCAGTGGCTTCTCAATTCCAGCTGGGAGAGAGCACTGACCCAGGAAGGAAAGAAAATTGCTGCCGGCTTCCACCTGCCCTCTACGGCTGGCCCAAGGTGTGTGGGGCCCTCTGCATTTCTTGCTGGACACTCTCCAATTAAGGCCAAGGAAGAGGACACAAAGAGAAGGACACCAGGGACCCTAGCTGAGCTGTCCCTTTCCTGGGGACCCCAGGAGGTAGCTCTCTAAGAACTGGGCAGCCCCGAGCCAGGGCTGTTCCTGTCGGCACCCTTCTCTGTCCGATTCCCTGTCATAGGCGCTGACAGGGTACCTCTCCTCGCCTTTCTGCAAACACTGTGTCCAGGGCAACAGTGATATAAATGGATGCCAGGTCGCTCTCCGAGATCCTCCCAGGACTGCCCCATGAAGCCCTCAAAAAGTGTGGAGGCATCTAGCCCTGCTTCGAGCTCGGGTGCTCCTCCGGACAAACCGGCCAAGGAGGGTGACCTGCTGCTGGGCAGAGTTGGAGCAGGAGGGCTGATGCCTGGGGTGTGAAGGCCTGGCTCTGTCACCTGCCTCAGAAAGCCCCACACACTCTGCAGCTGATGCGCTGACTGAGGCAGGGGAGGAGGCTCCAGGAGGAATCCAGAGGCTGTCAGTCCTCGGGGAGGCTGCAGGCCCCGAGGCCCCGGCTCCCAACAGCCAGAGAGTCCCAGAAGCCAGGGTCGCCCACATCCTGCCTCGCCCGGACACCAGGATGACCCAAAGTGCACCATCCCAGCAGCAGGTCAGCCCAGCACTGGCTCCTGGGGTCGCCCTCACCTGTGGTTCCTTCTGGGATGTCCGTGTGGGGCTGGGCGGCCGCCTGCTCGCCGGGGGCTCTCTCATCCACTAAGGGTGCGGTCACGTCTGGAAACCACCGAGAATCGCCTCAGAGGGGTGGGCCACACCCAGCCCCTCTCTTCGCTGCTTATGCAGGAGCAGAGCAGGGGGAGTCAGGAGGGGACCTGGCCACATGCAAGAAAGCACCAGCACAAAGCAGGACCCAGAGCTGCTCCTGCCCCTTCTCCCCAACAAGCATGTCACCGCAGGCAGACACCAGGCCCTGCCAGGCAAGCCCAGCAGTCCCCACCCCACGTAAGCACTGTTTTTGAAGAACAATTGAGGGCTGGGGTCATGGCTCAACTGGTAGAGTGCTCGCCTGACACATGTGAAGTACTGGTTCGATCCTCAGCACCACATAAAAATCAAATAAAGATACTGCGTCTGCCTAAAACTTAAGTAAAGAACAATAAAGAACAATTGAGAGCCAGATGTGTGACCCTCCAGGCGGTGTAGGAGGACATGATTGGGACTAGGGCAGTGCAGGAACCCTGGGCATAGGGCTGGGGCCTATAGTTTTGCTGGGAGGTTTTTGAGCAAGTTCTTTGTCCTCTTTGGGCCTCAGTTTCCCCATCTGTGCCATCTCTAGGTGGTCTCAGAGTTCTCTTCCAGTTCATGACCCCTGATCAGAGGGCAGAGGCCCCGGTGTGGCAATGACCAGGCCTGGTCTTGCCCGGAGCTGGTGCGTGACCATAGGTGGTTGAGCTTCGCAGCAGAGGCGGGCAGTGAGGATGGACCTCCAGGAGCTGCGGTCAGCGCCCCGTCAAGGTGAGCTCTGCAGGCCAGTGTTCCTCCTGGCCCAGTCACCCCAGGTGTTCTGGGCACACCCGAGGAGCTGTCACCCTGGAAGGCTTCCCAGGAGCTGAAATCAGCCTAGTTCAATGAAGGCCATTTTCATCATTTGCTGGGTCCAGGCCAAGCAGCTGGGCAAAGTCCAGCCTCTCCCTGTGGGTGAGAGCCGAGGCGCCTGGGGCCGGACACGGATAGCCCAGAGCACAGTGGGGCATGGGTGGAAGGTTCTTCTAGAGTCACATGGACAAAGCTCCGAAAGCCAAGGTTTGGGAAGCTGGCATGAGGTCTGGATAGTGTTTTAGGACTTTCTCAGGGTGCAGGCAACTTGCAAAACTGTCCTAACAAGATGAGCAGGAAATGTCTGACATCATGGGCTCTCGGGAGAGCAATGGGAATTTTTCCAGGCTGAGGACCTCAGGGGTAAGAGCCGCTGGGACTCACTATTAGAGCAGGCAGTTGGCAGCCACTTGACAGCCACTTTCTTCTTTTCTTTTCTTTTCGTCACCAGGGGTTGATCCCAGCGGTGCTATACCACTGAGCCACATCCCCAGACCTTTTTATATTCTATATGAGACAGGGTCTCGCTAAGTTCCTTGGGCTGGCATCAAACTGCTGCCTCAGCCTCCTGAGTTTCTGGGATTACAGGTGTGCACCACTGGACCTGGCTCCAGATGTAGTCGTGATTGACACAGACCACAAAAGAAGGTGATCAAAACCAGGACTAAGGAGACTTCAGGAAGTACACAGGGACTCTGTAACAACCTGGTCTCAAATGCCTGGAAAGGACAGGTTAGCAGAGGCTGACCAGGGCAGAGGCCCAAGCCACACCCAGAGCTAAAGAAATGAAGGACACCAAACCAAGACCAGGCCCCAGGTGCAGGTGAAGAGATGGGCACTGACCTGCCCCTTCCTCAAACAAATGGCTGCTGTGGGCCTTGGTGGCCCCCAAAAGAAGAGCAAAGGGTAACTTCACAAGGGGCTGTGGGAGGACAATGGTTTGGGGACAGGGGCTCTGTGGAACTGTGCATGGGCCCAGCGCCCACAACCCTGTCCTGCAAAGCATCCAGCAAGCACAGCTCTCAGCCCGTGGGAGAGGGGACAGCGAATGCAGCTGGAGCATAGCGCATGAGGGACGGTGGCCCAAAGCTCGGCTAAGCGCAGGCTGGCGGCAGGGAGGGAGTGTCTGGAGGAAGCAGCAAGAGGGGGAGCCCCACCTTCGGCCGTTGGGGTGCTCTTAGCATCCGAGGTCTCAGAGCCGGGTTCCTCGGATCCGTCATCGGCGGGGGTCTGCAGGGGAGACGCTGGAACATACACAGTGAGCCCCTCAGGACGGCGGCCTCTCCCCAGGCCTCCCTGAACTCGGGAGCAGAGTCCTTGGAGCTGCAAACCCCTCAGCGTGGACCCCACGTCCATGTGAGCAAACAACAAAGAGGACCAGCACCCCCCCACAACTGTACCCCACACCAGAGTGACCAGATGAAGATGTGGGGGACGCTAGATGGTGCAGGAGAGACTGCCCTTCCAGCAGCCAGTTCCTGCGAGACAAAGGCTCTCCTATTGACAAATGGCGGCAAATATCAGAAAGCCGAGCCACAGTGAACCTGCTGATTGCCAGTGCTGTTAACGAAGGACAAGTGGACACCCGGAGAAATGCTCAGAGATCCAGCTCCCGCCTCGGAAAAGAACTGGCCCAGGGCGGACTCAGGGCCTGCTTCCACTTGGACTTTATCCAGCTCCTTTCATGGAAAGCTCCCCATGGACCCCCAAAAGACCAACCATCCAGAGCCACACCCTCCACCATGAACACCCTTGTAAGGTGGCTTTTGTGGGCTTTAATAGAATGAAGAAGTCTGTCTTCTCCTCCTCCTCCAGGAAGGACCGCATTGTCCCCCTTTGGTGTGGCACCTTGGCACCAGAAGTCAATCTGCTCTGGTCGCTATGGGTTTATCAAGGCATCACTCAGCTTCTGGGGCTGGATGAGCCAAGGTTGTCAAATACAGCAGGGGAAGGCCTGCTGAGCGCCTGGCGTGTGCACAGCCGAGGCTGGGAACTCGGAGCGAATCAGATGCTCAAAAGACACAGCCTGTCTCCAGGGGCACACAGCCTAATGAGGGAGAGAGAGTGGCCACACGGAGCAACGGGCTCAGGCGCCAGCTTGTCCCAGAGCAGGCCCAGGCCAGCAGAGACTGTCCTCGTGAAGGTCTCCTAACAGGAAGAGGCGTTACAGTCTAGAAAGCCCTGGGGAAAAAAAGGGCCAAGATGTCTGGGTTCATCTCAGTTCCACCTCTTTCTAAGCAGGTGGCCTTGAACTTCTCTCTCAGGACCTCAGTTTTCTGATTTATAAAATGAGTGACATGACATCGACCCTACTTGCCCCCTCCTCTTGGAGCTGCTGGGGGGAATCTCGTGGGGGAAGCACTCTGCTAACCTGAGGATTTGCATTTGTGGGACACAAATCTCAGTGATGTGAAGAAGTCCCTGCAGTTCAGTCCCACTGGTGACTTAGATGACCCTCATTGTAAGCCACGGCTCAAACGACGGTGGGTGGGTGGATGGATGATTGAAGAGGGGACAGAGGAATGGATGAATGGGTGGATTATTGAGTGACGGGATGTCTGGGTGGCTAGTTGGATGGCTGGATGGATGAACAGATGACGAGATGGAAATCTGGGAAGCTCACATCGGAGTTTCTGAACCCTTTGTGCTGACTCTTACCAACTTTCCCTCCTCTTCTCCTGAGCCTGGCCCTGTGTGCCCAGAGAGGCCACTCCAGGGTGCCTAGTGTCATCTCCACCATCAGGTCAGTGCTGCTCTGTTATCTTGGTGACCTTGCTTACCCCTGTGTGTTAGGACCCCTCCCTTCATACTGTTCCCTTTGCTGCCTATGATGCTGCTGTGTTGAGGCCAAAATCCAGCTCCACTGACTGCCATGTGTGTGACTCTGGCCAAGGGACTTGCTCTCTCTCTGCCTTAGTCTCCTGGGCATGGAAACAGGCCCACCCTCTCAGGGGGCTTCTGTGTACAGCACCACGTGGGGCCTGCGTGTGAGAAGCCCTTGGTAAGTGGTGGTGCCTGCTGTCACTCAGCATGATGCCACCTTGGTTGAAGGGCCCAGCGTAGCACCGCACACTCACAGTGCTGATGACAGTGATGTGGATGTTGACTGGGAGTCCCTGGGGGTCCCAACAGGTAGCTGATTATTGTAACAGATGGACAAGTGGACTCTGGCCATCTGAGGAAAGGTCCAGCATTACTTAGTAGCCATAGCCCACAAGCACAGGGGACTTTCCTGGCAGCCCATTCAACCCACCTTGGAAACAGAACCCTGAGGTGATTCAGGCTGGAGCTGCACCCCGTCAGAAGGCCACATCTTCCAGCTTCCTGGCCAGGCAGGGATGGCCAGTGGGAAGTCAGGGGAAGTGTTTGGACAGGGCATCTCTCTGGGAGGAGCTCAGTGGGGAAGGGCTCCCTTTGTCCCCTCCTCCCCTTCCAGCTGCCTTTCCCACCTGTGAGCCACCTTGTGGGGGAAGCCACATGCTCAGGATGTAGGTTTTCTCAACTGTGTGAAAAATAAAGACTGTTCTCAGTTGGCGGCTGGATGCAGGCCGGTGAGGGGCCAGATCTGGCCTGTCCGGCCATGGCTTGGAAGTACGCAAAGGCCACAGGGCGACTGTCTCCAAACCCAGCTTTGTGGTGAGGGCGCCTGGGCCCAGGGAGAGGTGGGTGGTGTCCCTGGGGAGCTGAAGATGGTGTAGGCACTGGCTGGGGTCACGGCGGACCAGGTGGTGGCAGAGTCTCCAACAGCAGTGTAGGAACCGGGAGAGGTACAGGGTGGGGATGGGGCATTCAGTGGAAATGGGGAGGCTCTGGTGGACTCTGACCAGGCCACTTCACCAGGGGCAGGGGCAACCTCAGTTTCAGGATGGGGCAGAATGTGAAGACGTCAGAAAGGCGGATGGAGTTCAAGTGCACCGTGTGATCAGACACCCACCCACTTGGTCCCAAGGCCATCCCTGGACACCAGGCCCTGGCCACACCCTTTGGCTGGTTCAAAACAAGCTTCTCACTCATGCCGGGCTCCTTGGTCCTGGAGCTTGTAAAAACCTGCAGACTGTCTCGAGCAGGTCTTGGCTGAATGACGAGGCCACAGCCTGCAGACTGCGTGTGGTCTTGACATTAGCCACGCACAAGGCACCTGTCCCCTGCCCACTCTTCCAACTGCATTATCCTTGCTAAGTTCCTTAGAGAGAGGGAAGGAGGGAGGGAAAAGCCCCTCGTCAATGTCAGGAAGGTCTAACCAGCAGATCCGGCGAGGCCTTCAACTCCGGAGGCCACTGTTTCTTCAGTTACCCACGTCCCTGGCATCCCCGGCGTCCCTGGTGTCCCCAGCGTACCTGGCATATAGCTCTCTGTGGCTGTCCCCGCCCCACTGCAGCTTTTAGCACCCACTCAGACCCTCTTTGTTCTGGTATTTAACATGCAGTTTCTTGTCACTATTCAAAATAGACTTTTGTCACTTATCTAAAGTGTTGTCAGTACAGTGACACCTTCTGCCAACTCCAGCTCCCCACATAAAAACAGCTCCTTTGAAAGCTGAGTAGCGAGAATTAATTTGGTGACACTGTGGAAGTCTCTTAGGTCTCGCTGGCTGTCCTGGAGAGGACATCTTGGGGTCAGCTAGAGGTCTTCGAGTCCTCTCCTTTCACAGTATTTCAAAAAGGTTAGCAACTTAAATTTTGCAGCATCTGTGTGTGTGTGTGTGTGTGTGTGTGTGAGAGAGAGAGAGAGAGAGAGCACAGAACTTCTGATCACGTCTTATATTAAAGAATTGAATAGCAATTTGAACAAACACTTAAGGCAACCCAGAAACACGAAGTAGCTTGGTCAATTATTCTTAGTTTGCAGGTTGAATCTAGTGCAAAAAATAAGAGTGGTTAAAAACCACCCCTCATGGGACTTGATTTTAAATGAATTTATAATGTTAGTATATTTTTAGATATACAGAAAATATATATGAGTCTCTCCACACCCAGCTGCCCTATCATTAACATCTGACGTTATTATGGTACATTTGTTGCAATATAATATACGGTACTGGGGATTGAACCCAGGGGTGCTCTGCCACTGAGCACCAGTCCTTTATGTATTTTATTTTGAGACAGGGTCTCACTAAATTGTTGAGGCAGGCCTTGAACTTGCAATCCTCCTGTCTTGGCCTCCTGAGTTGCTGGGATTACAGGTGTGTGACGCCTGTGCCCAGCGACAACATATATTTTTAACCAAATATTTAAGCCAGGTTTCCCTACCTCTATAGACAGTGCCATTTTTCATTGGCACAACTCAGTATTTGAAGAGCTCCCTATGAATTCAGTATGCTGTGATTCTAACTTGGATTCCATGAATGAGAGTTTAATAATCTAGTTATTCAATTTCTCGTCTCCATTTGGTGAGGACACTGGGTACAGAGGTTTGGCTGGAGCCTGCATCCCCCACGCCCTCCCTCTGCACTCCGGGAGGGTGCCCACATCCTCCTCCCTGCCCTCAACCCACCTTTCCAATTCCTGAGCGCATCTTAGACCAAGGCCTCCCTGCTGACACCGAGAGAGAGAAACCAGCCTTGGAATCAGGTCCCTGAGCAGGTACCAAAACTCTCTAGGGGGGATGGCTGCTCCACATGCAGGAGAGCTGGTCCCCTTGCTCCCCACATCTGGGGGACCCTGTGATGCCCCCTCCTGAAGGACTCTCCTTGGATAGGTGCAGCTGGCAGAGGTCACTTCCAACCTTGGAGTTCTGTGACTTCCACCCGCACCCCAGCTGCAATTTTTAGCATTAAAAAGAGAAATGTAGACGGTCTCCATTCTGTCTCCTTAGAAATGGGTCTGGTGGTGGGTGGGACTGAGCCATCCACCCACAGGACTGCAGTGGAGACCCATGGAGAGAGCTCCTTGTCACACAGCTCAGCACCCTGGGCCAGCTCTGTGCTCCAGAAGACGGAGAGGGGCAGCCCCAGGAGCGTCCCAATCTCCCTGACACGTGGTCACACAGCAAAATGAATCACGGGCATTTAGCGGTACCCAGAATTGAACCCAGGGGTGCTTTACCACTGAGCCACATCCTCAGCCCTTTTTATTTTTTTCTTGATGAGTTGCTGAGGCTGGCTATGAAATTATGATGATCCTCCTGCCTGGGCCTCCCAAGTCGATGGGATTATAGGTGTGCACCACCGTGTCTGGCTGAATCACCACCGTATCTAGCTGTGCATTTAGGGGTTTGAGGATGGAGTCAGATCAGTGTGGCCAGAAGACTGTGTTACAGACATTTTGGAAGCTCACACAGGCGGACCTCACTGAGGGAGGGTAGAAGTACAGGTCAACACTGGGCATTTCGCGTGCTCAGGAGCATAGACCTGTAGGGTAACGGGTGTGGCTGAGACGTCAAGGGCCCCTGTATTCCTGAGCCCTGCAAGCTTGTCACACTCCATCCACTCATGTGGCAAACTCTCCTTTGGAAAGGTAAATTTTGAAATAGCCTCACATTTTGAGTGATCCTGGCCCCTTCAAGTTACTACGGCTCCACGCTCCTGACATCTTATACAATGAGGTGTTAAAAAGCCCAATGACCAGGATGCAAAGGCCCCCTGCCCGCCCTTGCCAAAGCAAGAGGCTGGCTGTGCTCCCCAGGCACCTGGCCTACTGCACACAGCTGTCCACTAACCTTTCAGGCCGTGCTCTGCGTCCCCCTCTTGGTCCTGGAGCAGGGCGTAGCCCTCAGCGTGGTCTTCCGCGGTGTCAAACTCCTGGCGCGGCTCAGCCATCTTGGTGCGAGGCTCACCTGGGAGGAGGAGATGCAGGGTGAGAGGAGCTGAAGGACTCAGTTCCCAGGAGTGCTGGGCTGGGGTGGGGACAGGGAGAGAGTGCCCGCCCCCAGGTCATGGCAGGCAGATTTTGGCCACCCCACTCCCCTTTCCAAGGAGCAGGTGCCCCGTCTCAACCTGTGCTCTGCCCAAGTGTTGGGACATTTCTGTGTGTTTGTAAGTCACCAGCGTCACACCAGCTCACACTCAAAATCACCGTGCGAGGCAGGCTCTGCAGACCTGAGCCCTTACTCTCAGCGCTCTCTCCACTTCTTCAGAAGGAAAATGCTAGATTTTTTTTGGTGGGGGAGGGGTACTGGGGATTGAACTCAGGGACACCTGACCACTGAGCCACATCCCAGGCCCCCCAAATCAACTCTTGGATTTTTTTTGGGGGGAGGGGTACCTGGGATTGAACTCAGGGGCACTTGAACCCTGAGCCACATCCCAGCCCTACTTTGTATTATACTTAGAGATAGGGTCTCACTGAGTTGCTTAGTGCCTCGCTATTGCTGAGGCTGGCTGTGAACTCCTGACCCTCCTTCCTCAGTCTCCAGAGCTGCTGGGATTACAGGTGTGAGCCACAGCCCCCGGCTTGTTTCATTTTAATTAGAGGCAGGGTCTTACTATGTTCTCCAGACTGGCCCTGAACTCCTGGGCTCAACTGATCCTCCTGCCTCAGCTTCCCAAGTGGCTGGGACTACAGGTGTGCCTGCTGTTGTTTATTTAATCCGTGAGCTGGGGACAGCACCTAGGCAAGGTCTCCGTGACTGCAGCACCCCACCCCCACCCCTTGCGCCCTTCTTGCGGCAAATACTTGGCATTGCCTTTGTGAATGGCTGCAGCCCTGGGTTCCCAGCTCCAGTGCCTGGATGACACAGCTGTGTGCCGCACTGGAGGTCTCCAGGGACGGTGGAGAGAGTCCTTTTCCCAGGCCATCTTTATCAGATGGTGACCCCTGGGTGCAAAATCCACGTGGGCAAGCCCGCCTTCCAGGGACTCCCGGAGAGCACAGGCTCAGTGAGGTGCAACCCTCCCTTTTGGCTACCTCACACTGCCAGCCCGGCCCCTGTGCACACGCCTGCACACGCGTGCCCTATCTGGCAGCTGGTTCCTCTCACAGCGTGAGAAGGGACAGAATGCTACACATGTCAGGGCAGCTCAACAGGGGCCAGGCCACTGAGCACCAGTTCTAAGTGGCCCTCAGTTCCCGCCACTGGGTCTAGACGGCTCCTAACGGGCAACGTGGGCGCAGACGGACGGAGTTTCTGTCTGTGCAGACGGAAACGGGCTTCCCTTCTGAGGTAGGCCGTATGGTCACAGGTGGCTTCTGTCACCTGACTTACACCCAGATCAGAGGCTGCGGCCGTCGGCGCTCTCCTGGGTCCCTCTGCACTTCCACCGGTCAGTGAGAAGCGGGCAGACCAGGCACTGTGGCTGCTCCTCCTCACTAAGACGAGCAGAGCCTGGAGCTGGACGGGGGCCAGTCTGGACCCTACTCACAGGGAGGGGAAGCACCAGAAGAGGTGCCTGAGGTCAACGGGGCAACTGTGAGCAGGGAGGTGACGGCGATGGTCCGGGCACACAGTCAGAGTGGGACCCCACAGGGCAGGCAAGGAGACGGGCAGGAAGGGGTGGCTCCAAGAAGCCATTTTAGAAAACATTAGACCAGACTTCAAAACCGGGTTGAGGTCAGCAGAGAGACTAGGACACAGCGCACACCAGAGGAAAGAGCCCGGTGTGGGGCAGGGGTGACCCGGGCAAAGGGGATGGCACTAGGAGGGAGGGTGCTGGATGACAAGGGCGGGTCCTGTGATCAGGTGGAAGAAACCCCCAGCCCCCCCCCCCCCGCATTGGCCAAACTGGTGATTTCATTTCACTATTAATAAGCTCCAGAAAATTCATTTTACTATCCCCCTGACTTCCGTTATGATTTTATTTGTTTTTTCCCCCTGCCCCGGGATGCTCTACCACTGAGCTGCACCCCCAGCCCTTTTGACTTTTTATTTATTATTTATTTTTATTTTTTGGTACCAGAGATTGAACCCAGGGATGCTTAACCATTGGGCCACATCCCCAGCCCTTTTTATTTCTTATCTTGAGACAGGGTCTCACTAAGTTGCTGAGGCTGGCTTTGAACTTGCCACCCTCCTGCCTCAGCCTCCCAAGCTGCTAGAAGTGCAGGTCTGCACCACTGCGCCTGATTTGACTTTTTATTTTGAGACAGGTTCTTGCTAAGTTGCTGAGGCTGGCCTCAAACTTGTGATACTCCTGTCTTGGCCTCTGAGTCCCTGGGATGACAAATGTGTACTACCATACCTGGCTAATTTTAAGTTTTTCATGAAGCTTTATTTTAATAGGTTTTTCAATGGAGAGGTATTCCACTTTAGCTTCAAGTCAAGGGTCAGACAATCTTCCAACATCAAGGGCTGGACAGTAAACCCTGCAGGCTCTGCGCTGTCTCTGCCTGGCACTGGGAAAACAGTTTTGATGATAAATGAATTGGCATGACCGTGTTGTGAGAAAACTTTATTTATGGACTTTGGAATTTTAATTTCATATAATTGCCATGGGTCATGAAATAGCATTCTTCTTCTTGGTACTGAGGATTGAACCCAGGGGCACTTTACCACTGAGCTATATACCCCAGTCCTTTTTATATTTTATTTTGAGACAGGGTCCCAAATTGTAGAGGCTGGCCTCAAACTTTCAATTCTCCTGCCTCAGCCTCCTGAGTCACTGGGATTACAGGTTGCGTCACCATGCTCAGCAATATCATCTTCTTTTACATTTTTGTTTTCAACCATTTGAGAACACAGAAGCATTCTTAGCTCAAGGCCAGATTTGGCCTGTGGGCCATAGTTTACAAACCTCTTAAGGCTTCTCCCGTATTTCTTGAATAGAAATAAAAACAAACAGAAACTATAAATAAATAAGTCTTAGCAAAAGTCACCCTGTTGTGGTTACCCCCTATATTTTCAGTGTGGATTGTTACTTTCCATACTGGGTTTTCTTCAGCTGCTTCTAGAGGTTTCCACAGGCTCTGACTCAGGAGTAGGAGACCAGGGGTCACGGTTGGACGTGGGCAGTGCTGTTGTTTTGAGGTCTGGGGACGCTCGCCAGGGTGTGCACAGCTGCTGGGCTGCCTCGTTCAGCCCCATGAGCAGACAACAGGGCCATGGGTCCCACCGCCCGGCTTTCTAATGACCACTCTGCCCCTCCGCCGCCCCCACAGACCCTGTCCGCTGCAGAGTCAGACACACCCATGGGAAGCTGTGTAAATTACAGGGGCCAACGCCGAAATTAAATCATCCTTCAAAACACAGGCGACTATTCACCATGCCAAATAAATAAACTGCATCTCAAGGGTCAATATTTTTCTTTTGCAGAAAAAAATTGGAATGCAAGGGAGGAAATCTGTAAACAGAAAGGCTCAGCCGGCCCCAGTCCCAGGCGGCCAGTGTCCCAAGGTTCCTGCACCTTCTTCAACACTTGCGATGCTGGCCTAGATCATCAGTCCTTGTGCTAATGTTTTGGAACCTACATGCCATGATAAGAAAGACGAGCCAGGGCCGGGCACGGTGGCACACAACTGCAACCCCAGCTGCTCGGGAGGCTGAGGCAGGAGGATCTCAAGTTTGAGGCCAGCCTGGACAACTTTGGGAGCTCTTGTCTCAAAAGAAAATTTCCAAAAGGGCCTGGGGATGTAGCCCAGTGGTAGAGCCCTGGCCCAGCATGCACAAGGCCCTGGGTTCAATTCCCAGCACTGCGGGGGGTGGGACTTGGGAGGCAAGTCCATGTTCTGGAGCATTCCTGAGGGTCTGCTTGCCATAGGCAGAATATAGAACCCAGAAAGAGGAGGTCTCTGGAGAGCAACACGAAGTCACTTCTTCCCAGTCTTGTGACAGACTATGATGGCCCCTAAACATGTAAGTCTTGGGGGACCTGCCTGGGCTGATGCTGTGGGAGCCTCAGGCTGACACTGGGAAGTGCGGGCACAGAACCTGCCAAAAGAGTGCGTTGCGTGCTCCCGTGGGCACTGCATGGGCCACTGACAGAGCCCCCAGGAACCCTCACAACTGTCCTTGAGGTAGGTATCATCATCACCATCGTTGTAGACACCAGGTTCCCAGGAATCTGGGGAGTCACCTGCCCAAGCTGGTATCCTGTGGGAGGCAGGGCCTGTGTCCTGAATAGCAGGGACACTCAGCTGCCCCTCACCACACACTCTTTCCTCCTGGACCACAGAAAGTTCCCTGACTTCCTGTGTGGACCCTGGGGCAGGGGTCTGGGGTGAGGGAGGAGCAGGGCCAGGACCCACACTCAGCAGCTTGTGATGAAGTCGCCTCTCTAGCCTTTAGGTTTTCATCCCCTGAATGTCACCCCGTGACCCCCGAGCTCCCTCCCTGCACCAGCGTTTTATTCAGTGCATCCACTGAGCCTGTGTCCCCAGCTCAGGAGCCCAGGGCCAGTGGCAGGATGGCAGGTCTCTGGTCCGGGTCCAGGTGCCAGGCAGGTGACCCTGGCATGGAGCCCAGGGTCTGCACACTGCCCCCCTCCCCGCTGCCCTCTGCAGAGCCAGGGCCGGATGAGTCCTGAGGAATGACCGGCCACAGGACGGAACCAGCCCCAGATGGCCTGGCCAGGCCTGCTGGGCCGAGACTCCTGCCAGGACAGTGCTCTGGGAACACCTCAGCGAGCATGCCTGAGCCTGCACCAGGCGTCACCACCCCACGCGTCCCCAGGACCCAGAAGGGAGAACAGGCCCCACAGCCAGCCTCCTCGCCCGCTCTCCTCAGTCTCCCTGGTCCTCCGGACTCTGTCTCTCCCCGACTTCCTGCTTCCTGTTGCCCAGGCTTCCAGGTGGAGGAGGGGGTCAGGAAGAAATGTTAGGGGAGGCACGAAAGTCGAGTGACACCTGAAAGTAGAATGGGTCCTTGGAAAAGGTGCACCTCCTGACAAGGGGAAGCCAGGATCC